ATTACTGGCACTGCATGTTTTTATTTTCCTCAGTAACACGTAAACACAACACAGTAAACACAAATGTAATTTGAATTTAAACTTCAGCTTTTGTAAACTCCTTTAAAAGTACAAAGTACTGATTAATGAGTGCAATATATACAATTGTGCATAAATGGTTAAATAACTACTTAGATATGTATTAAAGGTCAGTATCAACAACAACATCAAAGCATGAACGGCAAAAGAAATGAAAAATGATTTTTCAGGATTTGAAAAATCTAGCTGCTGATGTTATTTCTGCCACCTGCTGGATGAAATGTGTAGTGCAGCTCTGCTCAGGAACTTCCAAAGAACAGAAGGCTGAGAAATTCCCCAGGATTCTTAGGTTAAATGAAACCCAAGATTTTTAATGGAAATTGGCTTTTTAATCAGAGTGCTTCAACATATTATTAACACCTCCCCTTTAATTCCGTGGACCAACCACCATAAAACTATTGTGACAATAAATGCACGGTGAAGTTAACCAAAACTGTCCCAAAGATTGCAAGGGGAGCTTCTGTTGTAATGAACAAGCTTAATTAAATGTGACTGAGGGTATAGTTTCTGGTATGTGTGGAGAGCCTTAAATCCTCTTACTGATAAGTTTGAGGAATTATCAGAGGCATTGTTGCAAATTAAATATAGTTTATTGAAGGCACAAGTTCCTTTGGACAAGGATCATCAGTTTATTTTACTGTACAAAAATTAAATGTAGGAGTCTATGCTGGTCCTGGAAACCTTATAGCTGAAAGACATAGCTAAACCCCAATTAAGTTAGACTGTTTGGGGAGGATGAATTAAAAAATAAAAATAAAAAAAACATCCAGAAAATGCTTTTGACCACTAATAACTATCCAAACAAAAGAAATTCTAAACAAAAACAAAATCTGGGACTGAAACTGAAACAGTAGCAGGCCAACCTATACCCAAAAGAGAGATCATGTTAGCTGAGCACCTTCAGCAGCCAGGTAATGAGGAACTGCCTTTACTAGTGAATAACCCCGATGCATGGGTGCATGCATGGAGCCCATACAGCAAAACACTGCTTCCAGAAAGTCATGTGACCGATACAGGAGTTTTTTCTGACCGACTGACTCATTAACTCTGTTTAAAAACGTTTCTGTCAACATGATGCATCTGCTAAAAAAATGTGTCATCTTTTGTGATTTATTATTAAAATTTTCAATAACTTTGGAGCAACCTAAAAGGAATTAAGTTTTTATTTTAATTTTCTCCTTGTGTCATTATTTTTCCTCTCAGTTATCACTCAACTTATCTGAATTAAAATTAATTTCAAATTTAGTTTATTTACTGTTTTTACTGTACGTTTTAAAATTACGATTTAAAATCCCAGTCCACAAGCATCCTCATTCACATTTTCCCCTAAATATGTTTGCATTATTTATTGGCTACATCTAAAAATATTGAGGATATTTTCAATTTAAACATTTCATTTCAATTCAGTTTATTTATATGGCGCCAATTAACAACACATGTTCTCTCACTTTCCAGTTCACCTGATCATACAATCACATTGATTCAAAGTTTTCTATCTAAGGAAAGCTGTTTATTGGATCGACTCATTGACTCTTCAGCAATCCCTCACACTAAGCATGCTTGTAGCGACAGTGGAGAGGAAAAACTCCCTTTGAACAGGAAGAAACCTCCAGCAGAACCAGGCTCAGTGTGAGCGGCCATCTGCTGAGGCCCACTGGGGTTCAAGGAGACAGAAGCAGACATAGAAAAAGAAGCATAGATACAAAAGACAACTGTCAACCAGCTCCACAGGCGGCCCCGTCCAGGAAACACACAGCCAGGCAGACGAGCTCCGAGCCAGCTCCCATGTCAGAGGATGAAGAGAGCACATCCAGTTAGTCACAGTCAGAGAAACAGGACTACACTGGAAAACAGGCCAAGCTCCAACATCTAGAAGCAAAGGTGTTGATGGCACCATCTCACAGGATGGTGTCAAAGCCAAACAGGAACAGATGAGGCGAAGCTTCTATGAGAAAAAGCAGAGAGAGCAAAACGTTAGAGATGAAACTAACAGATTCTGCAGAGTGGATATAGATAGAATGAAGCAAAATGATATAGTTGCCTGCTTTCATAGATATGAGAATTATATAAACATAGATATGAAATAATACAATATAACCTACAATAACTTAAGTTATATCAGTTTACTAGGTTATAAAATCAATTCAGTTAGTCTGTCTAATAAGCTGTCTGTAATGTCTTTAAATCAGAGGTGTAGCCAGAACCTTTTTATAAGGATGGCCAGGCAATAACCAATGTAGACGGAGGGGTGGCCGATAGTGGATCGGCGCCAGAACCTCATAGTCAATCTACACTGTTTCAACAGGAAAATTAACGAGCAAAACATCCATATTTTACCAAATAAAGACAAACTATCCTTTCCTACAGCCTTTCAAAACAAATAGATGTACACATTTAAACACCCATGCTTTCTATATAAGAGGTCTAGTGGATAAAATAGTTTCAGGTTTGAAACATCTTTTCCATTGTCATCATCTAACCACTTTTATCAATAATCATTCTGCATAAAATTGACATTTACAAGTACTAATATCTACATCAATTGATTATTTATTTAAAATAGTTATCTATGATTTCACTGAAGACTCCTAGAGGACTTGCAGAAACACATATTTTTTATTTACCCTATAAGACAAAATCTAGTTCTGGAAAGAGCATGTATTCTGTATTTATAATCTTTAATGTTAGTATATTGATGTGCATAATTAACTACAGTGATTTTGCAATTTATAATATATGAATATTTGTAATATTTTGAGTATTCCACTTGAGAGTATTACTCTTGCCACCATCTGTATTAGAGGGTAAAAATGGTAGGGGTGGCCACGGTGGCCAATGATTGGCTATGGGTGGCCATGGCCACTCCTGGCCCACCATCTAGCTCCGCCCCTGCTTTAAAAGTCCAGCAGGTGTCAGTATTCTGCGAGACAGTATCAACGCAGTATCAATACAGTTAGGCAATGTGTTGAAACACTCATTAACCCATCACTAGCCTTTACCTTCTGTAAAGTGAAACCAGTTAACAGCGTCGCTCTCTAATCAGGAGGAGGAATCAGCAATAATTCTAAACCCACCTCATACTCAATGTTAAACATACCTCTGCTGGAATCATCCGCCGGGTATCTGATCTCCTGAGTGATCTGCCTGCTTTAAATGTAAACACTCATTACCTGTTTGGCTAACACAGTGTCTTCTATATATGGGAAAGAGGAACAGTGTGCAGCACCATACTATACAGCACCGGCTACATAAAGACCAGACAAGAAGTCAAATTACACCTCAGATTTAGGTAATTAGGGGCCCCAGGCAAAGACAGGCAGGGGGCCCTCTGAATTCGGAAATCAACTCATAAAACAGCCCCATTCTACAGATATAGAAATGTTAATAGAATAGACATCCATTATCTGTTCTAGGTTGTGTCCCTCTCTTCTTGTCCCTTTTCTTCTTGTTTTCCTCTCTATGTTTTGTACTCAGCTGACTTTTCATGCTGTCTCTAAAGGAATGAAAGATTTTTTCCAAGCACTAAGCTCACTTAGCTGATTGCTCCTTCCTGTGTTTCCAAAAAGGCCAAAGTAAATAACCCAGCAGACAAGATAGAGGAGAGCAGGAGGCGGGGTTACCAATCTACTCGCTCTGGAGAGCAGAGTTCGCTGCTTTTAGATGTTGTCTCCAAAGTCTCCAGTAGCAGAAAAAAGTCGCTAGATTTGGAGCTAGGAGCTTTTTAGAAATCAAAGTTCTAGAGGGGTCTGAAAAGTGGCTAAATATAGCGACTAAAGCGCTAAGTTGGCAACACTGCTCTTTGCATGGTTTGTTTTCAAATGGTTTGCTGCAGGGGCTGCTCAGTGGGGCAGTGGGTAGAGCTGCTGCATTGCAGCAAGGTTTCAGGGTTCAATTCCCGGCATGTTCTCCCTGAGCATGCATGGGTTCTCTCCGGGTACTCCTGCTTCCTCCCACAGTCCAAAAACATGAATGTTAGGTTAATTTGCTTCTCTAAAATCCCCTTAGGTGTGAGTGTGTGAATACTTGTTTGTCCTGTTTGTCTCTGTGCTGCCCTGCGATGGATTGGTGACCTATCCAGGATGGACCCCGCCTCTCACCCACTGACAGCTGGAGATGGACACCAGCACCCCTCGTGACCCCAACTGGGATAAGAATGAAGGAAAATGGATAGATGGAAGGTTTGCTGCCTCACTGTTGCAAATAACCCCCCCGTACCCTGCAACACACTTAATATTATCAGCGTTCTGATGGCATTTTAGAAAGGATTTTTATTAAAAACATAATTAATGTGCACAAATAAGGAATACTTGTATTAACTACAGATATAAACAGAGTTTTATGGGGCCCCCAGGAACTTGGGGCCCTAAGCAACTGCCAGGTATTGCCTAATGGTAAATCCCCCCCTGGGTAAGAACATTGGAGAAGTTCCCAATATGAAGGTTAACAGAACTACACACAGGGAAATAATTCATAAATATACTGTTATGGTTTTTAATAGTATATTTGTATAAATAACATACGGTCAATTATTAACATTCTGATACACCTTTTAACCAAAAGGTTTGGTAACAAAAAACTTTTTTTTAATTACCAATATTTCCATCTCAACCAGTTAAATGTAAAAGTGGAAGAGATGTGGTACTAGTGACTCAGTGCGGAAGGTTTTCCAGCCTCTAAGGTGTTTACTACAAATGTACTTTCGGTCTTCCTCCTCCTACTCGGTGCTCTCCAGACATCTGCTGAGCACGCCCCGTGTTCTCACGAGCATGCACTGTCCACGCGTCGGCATCGCGCGCTGATTGGCTAAAAATGAGGCAAACAAAGATTTTCGACCAATAGGAGCGCTGATCACGCGGTGAGCCATGTCGTCCATACAGGCTGCACATGCTCAGCTGGGGAGGGCCGTATAAAAGCTCCGGGCCGCCTTTGTTTACAGTAAACGGAAGTGAAAGGTGCTGCTATCGGGTGTTCTGCTCTGAACGCAGCATTTTAACGGCTACAAGTTAACTGTTCGCCCGTGACAGCATCACACCGCAGCCATGGTAGCCATGGCCAAAAGGGTTAAAACCTTCCAGATTACTTTTGCGGATTCAGGCAAGTCTTTTTACTGCGGCGGGGAGAGGCTGTGTGGCCGCATAGAGGTGGAGGTGAGCGAGGTGACCCGGGTGTCTGCCATGAAGGTGCTGGCGCTGGGCTGCGCTAAGGTGGAGTACGCTAAGGGCAAGCAGCGGTGCCGCCAGGAGGCGGAGTACCTCCGCCATGAGGAGCTGCTCCAGCTCACCGAGCAGCCTACAGGTTCGGACACATTCATCACATTTTATATTAACATCCAGGCTTTTTAGCTCTGCTGTTTAATGCAGAGAGTTAACCTGAATCATAGCCCCACCCTCCATAAGAGGGGATGCTGTCAATCATTAACACCTGGTAATAAAACTAAACTTCTTCTACTTGGCTTTATAGACTCGGACGGATCCGTTGTCTTACGACCTGGTAACAAATACGAGTACAAGTTTGGAATTGATCTTCCTCAGCAAGGGTGAGAGTCTCTACCTGGATCTGTGTGAATCTGTCCCTCTAGTCTCTAACGAGTCATTTCACAGGCTGTACTTTCGGTTTCACACTCATGTCTCTGCTCACAGGCAGCTGGTGTCTTCATACAAGGGGAAGTTCGGTTATGTTCACTATTATGTGAAGGCCCTGATGGAGAGGCCACAGCAGCCCACCCTGGAGTGCAAGAAGTGCTTCGAGGTGGAGGAACCTCTGGATGTCAACACACCTGACCTGCTGGTGAGCTCACAGTTAGTTAGTTAGCCATTAGTTAACCAGACAAGGGAAGTTGGTCTAAAAAAGAAAAGTCCACTTATACACATCCTGTTAACCTTATGTCTGTATGTTCTGGGTACATTCAGAAGAATCATTTAAGCTCATAACTTCACATTTTTTATGTGTTTTCTGGGCTACTTAAGTTCCACACCGTAGAATTTCTGCCAGAGTCTGGTAGAAATGTGTCTGAATAATTAGAACACGTCTTGTTAAATATAATTTGTCACTTTATAAACCAACATGTGTCTGGATTTAATCTGTGTGCCTCATAAATATTCATCTAAACCTTCTGATTTCCTAGTATATTATGAGGTCCACAGTTGAGGCTCTGGAAATCTGTGATTCTAGGAAAGGATGGTTCTGTTAAGCTGTACACATAAACTTTGGAAGAGCAGTAGGGCCCTATAAAATCTGTTTTATTTTTTCCCAAATTAAATTTTTTCCGTTTAAATTTTTTAAAATTCAGTTTTCTGTATGTATTTTTGTGCCTCCAATCAATGGAATTTTGACAAAACTTGCAAAACAATAGTTGACCTGACACGTAAAAGTACGAGTAAGCTCTGTACTCGGGGCTTAGCGTTGCGTTTCTTAACATTTTCGCAGAAAGCGTAGCTGTGGAGAGCCGCTTCGCCATTTTTTCAATGTTTTTATGGGGGAGGGTGAGCGGAAATGATGGAGCAGGAGGGGTTGTGTCATCCAGATTTGCGCCCCCCGGTGTGCGTTTCCCCCCCGACGTACGTTCTTCTCCAACTCAAAAACAAGAATTTCATTTCAAATGTAGAAATTCGGCGTTTACACTACATTCCGCGTAATTTGCCACTTCCGCGATTCCGTTTGTGCAGAAATTATAGCTCCGTAGAGCAGTCATCCAATCTGTTTTTTGTTAGAGCTTAGATTTATTTATTATTAGGGAAGCAGGAGGGTTTTTTTATTCCAGTGAACGCCTGAAGGCTTCTGTAGTTCACAGTAAGGTCAGCCTGAGAGTCTTTACCCGTAAAATTAGACTCAAAACTCATCACCCCTCTTATTGCGTAACACTCCTAGCTGTTAACATGTTTTATGTCATATTCTAACTCTTTACAACTGTTTTACGAGCCTGGATGTCTGCTTTTATTTACTTGCACTTTGAAATTTAGGCCAGGTATGAAAAATAACAAGTAGTGCTTATTTTTGTTTGTCATCAGTCCCCTGCAGGCGGCACTAAGGAGAAGAAGGTCACCATCATGTTCATCCCTGACGGCCAGGTGTCGCTGAATGCAAAAATCGACCGGCGTGGATTCTGCGAAGGCGAAGACATCTGTATCAATGCAAAGTTTGAGAACACTTGCTCCAGGATTGTGGTACCCAAGGCTGCCATTATTGCCAAACACATCTACCAGGCCAACGGCCGCACCAAAGTCTTCCGACAGAAGCTGTCCGCCGTGCGTGGGAACCACATTATCTCAGGCATGTGCGATGCCTGGCAGGGAAAGACCATCAGAGTGCCAAAGATCAAACCATCCATTCTCGGCTGCAACATCATTCGTGTGGAGTATGCGCTCATGGTAGGTCTGCTGCATCCGACTAAATGGCTCTAAAGATTTTTTGTTGTTGTTTTTGGGGGAGAATTTTCCTAATCTGAGTATTTCTCGTTCATTTGGCAGATTTATGTCCACATTCCTGGTAGTGAGAAGCTGATCCTGGAGCTGCCTCTGGTTATCGGGACCGCTGGTCTCGGTAGCCGTAGCAGCAGCGTTAGTAGCCAAGAGGGTTCATTCAGCAACGCGTCTCAGAGTTGGGTGTCCCTCAGGATGTCCTCTCAGCCTCCCAGCTACTGTGACATCACCAAAGACTGCCGCCTTGACCAGCCCCTCACGCCGCTGCTGGACGACGTCGACTGCGATGACAGTCCCATCTTCATGACCTCGTCGGCCTTCCAGTTCCCGTCGCCTCCGGCATATTCCGAGGTAGGCGTCTCAGACAGGTCGCCTCGGTTGCTTTGCTGAGGCTAAATGCAGCTACAGCAAATTTAAACAATACTTCTTTCTGATTGTTTTTACTTTCTTGTTCCAGGCGGATGAGGAGTGCAACGGGAATCCACGCATGCTGCCTGTCTGCTGAAGCTCATCTATGGGAATTCTAGAGCTTTATTAAAGCTCTCATGGACTCTTCTTGTAAGGCACTTAAAAAAGAGTGAGGTGCTCACATCGGAGAAGATGGGATGGCGGATGTAAAGCCAGAGATGTAAAGAAAGAAAAGAATTATAGCCTTTCAAACGCTTCATCACCTATGCTGATCCAAAGTCTTCCGTCTGGTGCTGAAATGCCAGACCTGAGTACGCAGATTCTGCGGCGCAGGACGTTTCTGCGAGGGCTGTCCCTCCCTTAGACTCTGATTACGTATCAGACGTGTTTGATCCCAGCCTGCTGAAACACCTTTAATCATGAATCATTCCAATCAAATCCTGGGTTTTAGATAGAAATCATAGGAGGTCACAGATCTGTTCATTACTGAGCAGATCTTAACCGGGTGTAAAAGAACCTAAAACGGCGTTCTTATTTCCATAGATACCAGTGTTTTAAGAGTATCATTTATTCCTTAACTTGAGTCACTTTTCTTTGTTTTGTACCACTACTGCTGAATTGACTTGTTTGTGTTTGTTTCATATGAAAAGCAGGAATTTTTCCAGGGGAAGAATCCACTCTGTTAAAGTATATCTGATTTCCACTCATCACTGCAAAGTTGCCAAAAGTGATCAGAGCAGCAAAAACATGTTCAGATTTCTTTCTTCTTCAGCACCTTAATGTGCAGTTATCTAAGACGGCATTTCACCGTAACATCTGATCTCTGCTTGTTTGACTTCTGAACTTTCAGGGCCCAAAATCAGTTTTTTTTATACTTGTAATGCCTTGTCTGTACATGAGTTATTTTTGTATGGAACCCTATGGGTAATTTTTTTGATAAATAAAGAAAAGAGAAGGGAAAAAAGCGAGTGTTTATTCTTTCTCCAGCAACTATTGGAGCTTTTTGATGTTATTTAAGCTGTTCAAAATCACTAAATAAATACTTATTCTAGTTTCTCCCAATGCTGTGAGTCAACGACACACTCCTGTGCAGCATGATTATTTATCATAACAATTTAGGTCTGAACTTCCTGCTAAGAGAATAAAGACATTTTGAGAAAACTTAAAGGATATTACCGTAATTTTCTGACTATAAGCTGCACCTGAATATAAGCCGCAGAAGCTAAAATGCATGATATGTACATATACAAGCCGCACCGGACATTTTTTATGTTTAATGTCCGTCTTTCTAGCTGTTGTTCTGTCTCGTACCACTCGCGGTAGAAGTCTGCATCTGGAGGACCTCCGCATTCCCGCACACGCGACTATTGTACTTGTGTGTTAAAGGAAATGTGACCTCAACATGGTGGATGGTAAAATCCGTAGATTTAGGTATTACCCTAGTGGCCGTTAGCTGTAAAAGTCCAGCTATAGATAAGCTGCATTGTTGGAAAATGGGGGGAAAAAGTCGCGGTTATAGTCCGAAAATTACGGTATACACCAATTTGCTAAAATTTAATCCTAAAGTTTTAAAAAGCACATCAAACACACACTCAGTTTGGAAATAATGCAGCAAAAAATGTTTCCTTAATTTATTTTAGGTGTAGGAATAAAAATAATTAGAATGTAGTTATGTTCATGGTTACCCAGTAGTGAGAACGAATGGAGGGAAAATTAGCCTAAGGCTTCATTTGTCGCGTGTCAAAGCTGCACTTCAGGCATGACCCCATAGTTTACAGAATAACACGAATACCATAAACATCAAGGAAAATGATTTCTATGTTTACCAGTAAATACGCCTATGTGAAATTGTCAAACCTATTCATACTCCATGACATGAAACATCTCCCATCCGTGAGCAGATGGAATGAGGTCACATTCACTCAAGAAAAAGGTATACTTTTTAAATGTTTATCATTTTTTAAAACTGCCATTGTTCCAGCATGTAGAGACTATACATTTTCTCTTGTATATGCTTATTAATGTCAGGTTAAATCTCTTGAATTCAGTTTCAATTTAATTCAGTTTATTTCTATAAGCACCAATTCACAACACAAGTCATCTCAAGGCACTTTATAGTTCACCAGATCATCCAGTCAAGATGATAATTTCTAAGGAAAACCAGTTGATTGCATCGACTCATTGACTCTTCAGCAATCCCTCACATAAAGCATGCTTGTAGCGACAGTGGAGAGGAAAAACTCCCTTTGAACAGGAAGAAACCTCCAGCAGAACCAGGCTCAGTGTGAGCGGCCATCTGCTGAGGCCCACTGGGGTTCAAGGAGACAGAAGCAGAGAGAAAAAGCAACTGCTACAAAAGCGGCGCCATCCAGGAAACACACAGCCAGGCAGACGAGCTCCAAGCCAGCTCCCATGTCAGAGCCTAAAAGAGAGCACATCCAGTTAGTCACACAGAGAAACAGGACTACACTGGAAAACAGGCCGATCTCCAACATCTAGAAACAGGCGTTGATGGAAGCAGCACAGCTGATATTTCTCTCCAGGATGGAGTCACAGCCAAACAGGAACAGACCAGATGTGTGACTACAAATACAATATACCAAATTCCTGATGAATATCCATGACAAACACGTTTAACAAACTGTACATTTATAACCATTATAAAAAAATCCAACATGCTGTAACTACATTTCAACCTGCAGAGATTAAATCAAGAGTTTAGAGTCAAATTTACAGAATTTAGACAAATATTCAAAATTTGAAGAGCAAATAAAGACAGCACTCTTAAGGTTCAATGTCTGTTTATAACATTTATCCATGGTTTAGTTGCTCTTTAAACATGCTAAAACTGATTTGAAAATTAATAGAACTTCTAGAAGCAGACAGAAATGTGGGTTCCTGATAGCAGACGTGGGCAATGACACACATCCAAACACCATCAGCGGCAATTTTAACCATGAAAAACGTGGTTTAAATGGTCCTAAAACAATCTGAGCTTTGATTAAACTGGCAGTAGTCCTGCACACAGTCAGCAGGCCTCACCCTTGTTTTTCATTATTTTTGTTTTTTTGCAAGTCTGATCCTGACTCTGTTGCTGACGTTCTCGCATGGCTGAGAGCAACAGATAAGTCGAGTGTTTATCTCACAGCCGGTCTCTGACGAGAGTTTGCTTTCTGTGCCTCATACTCCAAGATTGAAAAACAAGCAGAAAAAAAGAGCAGATCTGGACAAATATCTTATGATTAGTTGATTACTCCACACATTCAGTAAGTGGATCTAAACAAAATACTGTTGTAGCTATTTAGCTTGATCATTACTGATATGATATGAGATTTTAAAATGGTGGATTTTAAAAGTAATTTATGGACATATTCTTCAACAAAAAAAGCCAAGAAAGAAAACATTTTCAGTCATTTGTGCAGTTTAGACACATTTTTCTCTGTTACTGCAAATCAGCATAACATGACCACTTACAAGTTTTTTTTCTCCTCATGTTGTTTATTGTTTGTTTGTGGGACATGTTGGCAGAACTAAGAGATTTTCTAATCAAACCCACCGGCGAACCGTTTTAAAGCATTTACAAATAATAACTAAGAATGCATGAAAATTACACTGTAAAATGTTTACCAATATAGATGTTAGACATCGCTGGAAAGGTTAGATTCTCCACAATTCAACACAGTGAGCACAAAAGCACAATTAACACAAGTATAGTAGCATGTCAACATGTACCACAACAAGCAAGCATGTCTTTATAACTGCTGTTCAAAAAATACCTATTATTTTCAACATACATACTCACACATGTATCACACATGTAATTTGGGCTCACAGTTCCTAAGTTATTTGCTTTCCGATTTGGATATGCAAAATAGACCAGAATTTCCCAAAATGAGGTGGATATTTAGAGGTTAGAGGTGTGGGCTGCAGCTATTGTTGAGTTTTCCTGCTCCACGGAGGTCATTCTCTATCAGAAAAGGTCCACTGGAGGAACAGTGACACGGTTGCGGTCTAATGATGCTGTAGGCCATAAAGGTTGGTGTCACAACCAACGAGAGAGCTGCTGGTGCTCAATCTGTTGAAGTATGTCTGAGAGCTACCAGAGTAAACAGTGAATCAAATTTAACGTGAGGGCTGCAGACTATAAGGATCTTTGGATGTGTGTCAGAAAGGGAAGGAAATTATTTAGATGGATTGAGGCGTTCATTACGTTTAAAACACTACACATCAAAATGAAGCCTAGGTTGAAGATCAACTGATTGGTTACCCTCATGCAATCAGAGGCACATTCATTTGTGAAGTAATTGTTTATCTATCGACCACACCTGCTCATCATCCAATCAGCATCCAGAGTTCGGCCTAAAAAACTTTTAAATCAAAAGAGAGGAAAAGGTTCCTTTGTGGGTCATTTCAGAACCAGAAACTGTTCCTATCTTGGTCTGTTCAGAACCAGGAGAGGAACAGTTTCTGGTTCTGAAATGACCCAGAGAGGAACAGGTTCCTCTCTGGGTCATCTCAGCAGCACAACCTGCCATCAACAAGCATCTGAGTTGGATCATGTCGGACTGATTCTCCACCATCCTTGGAAGCTCCATCTGGCTCCTCCTCTGTGCTGCTGGTTGCTCTTGTTGAAGTAATACCTTGGACTCCTACTGCTTCATCCCCAGGCAGAAAGCCACCATGTTGAGCCTGGTTCTGCCAGAGATTTTTTTCCCCTTGGGGAGTTTTTTCACTCCACTGTTGCTCTATGCTTGCTCATCATGGAGATTCATACGAATGTGCACCTTGTTCCATCTGGCGTCCATCTTCATTCCAACACCAGTTTCAGGCACACAGGACTTCATCTCTATTCTCATTTAGCAGCTCCTCATTATAATCAAAATAAATTTCGTTGTTAATGTTAACCACCGAGGCCTGAGCACCAAAGTCTTTCATTTTCCCTCCTTCTTTGTGAGTTTTTCGAGTTATAATCTCGCTAAGCCCTGTCGTACATCCCGGCCATTCTACGCTAAATTATTCAGGTTATTTGGTGTTTAATAAGGAAACTTAATTCACTGAGTGAGGAAACTCATAGAAAATCATTTTCTTAATGACAGAAAATTGATTTAAAGGATGAAGTTGCCACCAAGAAATTATGATTTGCACTGTTTAGTACATTTTTCCATTTAAACGGTCGGTGCTGAACAGACACTTATTGACGATCCCTTATTGTCTTTTATTGTCTTACTATTTTATTTATCGGGACTGAGATGTAAACAGGGAAGCTGATACTTGTGTCCAAAATACATTTCTACTCATAATGCATCACTACAGTACAGCTGTTTAAAAGTGTTTTATATATACACTCACCGGCCACTTTATTAGGTACACCTGTCCAACTGCTCGTTAACACTTAATTTCTAAGCAGCCAATCACATGGCGGCAACTCAGTGCATTTAGGCATGTAGACATGGTCAAGACAATCTCCTGCAGTTCAAACCGAGCATCAGTATGGGGAAGAAAGGTGATTTGAGTGACTTTGAACGTGGCATGATTGTTGGTGCCAGAAGGGCTGGTCTGAGTATTTCAGAAACTGCTGATCTACTGGGATTTTCACGCACAACCATCTCTAGGGTTTACAGAGAATGGTCCGAAAAAGAAAAAACATCCAGTGAGCGGCAGTTCTGTGGGCGGAAATGCCTTGTTGATGCCAGAGGTCAGAGGAGAATGGCCAGACTGGTTCGAGCTGATAGAAGGGCATCTCTGAACACACAGTACGTGGAACTTTGAGGCAGATGGGCTACAGCAGCAGAAGACCACACCGGGTGCCACTCCTTTCAGCTAAGAACAGGAAACTGAGGCTACAATTTGCACAAGCTCATGGAAATTGGACAATAGAAGATTGGAAAAACGTTGCCTGGTCTGATGAGTCTCGATTTCTGCTGCGACATTCGGATGGTAGGGTCAGAATTTGGCGTCTACAAC